CCACAGTCACCGGACATGTCCCTGCATGATTTCTCTTTATGGGGATATTGAAGGGACTGGTCTATGTCCTCCCTCTTCCTACTAGCAGAGAATCACTTCCGCACTGAATAATGTTAGCAGAGACATGCTACAGTGTTATTGGCAAGAGCTTAACTACCGACTTAACATGGGCCGTGTCACAGGCGGTGCACATATTAGACACTTATGAAATCGGCCCCATAATAAACTTATGATGTTCAACACCTAAACTGTTCAATTTTATTGAGCTAGTCTTTAGTTGTTTTCAAGATAATTGCTTTTAAAATGATGTCAACGTTTTTTGGGACACCTTGTATATATCTTCTCTAGATTTATTATGATTGATAACTCTCTCCTCCAATTTGTAGACCCTAGTTATTATATTCTTAATACTTGATATAATGCAAAAATATCACAATGATAAAATTGGTCAATAACTATTCAAGGTCATTATTTTTCATTGTTTTCTCTTGTAGCTTCTAAGAAAATGTTTTCTAATTTGGGTCCACAAGTTCGATTTGAGTGAAGAAATAAAACAGCAGCCACTGACGATAAAGGCTTTACAGTTTCACAGGTGAGACTTGAATAATTTCTCAAACCTTAAATTCAAATTCATAATCAAGCACACATCTTCATGGTGCACTCCAAAAATTTCTTTGCATTCAGCTATCCTGGAGAAGATGATAAACTACGTCCAGCAGCAAGGCTTCTGATCGGGAGGTTTTGAGGAGCGGGCAACCACTTCTTAGTTACTGCAATTAAGAAGTGGTTCCACGCTCCTTAAAACCTCTTGAGCAGAGGCCTTGCTGTTGGACGTAGTTTACCGTCCTACCCAGGACGTGGACTCAGTGGAAACAAGGCAAGCAATAACTGGGCTGTACTGAAAATAAGAATTATTAGGTTGGTGCAAAAATAATGTCGTTTTTTGACATTCAAATTGAAAAGAGAAAACGACATTATTTTTACACCAACCTAATAGATGAGATATCCCGTGAGCGGTGACCATTAAGTAATATATTGTCATTCCTCTTTTAAAATATTAATATTATGGGTTTTTCAATGATTCATTTTCAGACCTTTCTCTTATAAAATGGGCCAAGAGAAGATAACCTGAATTCTAAACAAAGCCATTTTATTTTTTCAGATACCAGTTAATGCGAAAATCTTTCCGTAAACTGAAGCTTTATGTATCATGGCGACATTATCGGCAGGTAAATTGTTTATCATTTCCACGATTACTGAAGTTAAACCCCGACGAGAATACCAGGGCTGTAAGCTTAGATGTGTGGGTGATCTAGTGGATAATGGCCCAGAATTGTAAATCAGAGAGCTGGGTCCCAGTTCCAGTCAGCTTTATTATATTCACTTACATGAAAATACTCTTGGGAAAGGTATGGATCCACCACTTCTACCCCCCAGCTATGGGTTAATTAGTAGGACTTGTATCAGTAAATCATTATTATCTACAAAAAATTCTTAAAATCTAAAAATCTTTTCTAGCTTTAAATAACCTGCAAAAGGTCGATAAGCCATAAAAAACAGTTTATTTTTCTTTAAGCACTGTGATCATCTATGCCAGTGGTTCCTAAACAGTATGGTGTGCTCCATAGGTGCAGTGGAAGAGGATAGCAGATGAGGTAGAATGATTGAAAGACAATCGAAGATTTAGAAACAGTTTTTAAAAAATTCATATTGCCAAAAATAAATATGATTTTAAAATTTAAAATATTATTATGGATTACTTGTAATTGCATGCATGAGTCCCAGTAGAAATAGTTATTGACAGATTTTATCATTGTGATATTTTTGCATTATTTCAAGTATTAAGAACATAGTAACTGAGGTCTTCAAATTGGAGGAGAGAGTTATCAATAATAATGTTCTGGTTTTGAATCCACGGTTATCTCTCTTTAACCCTCTCTCTGTTTTTTTTATTTTTATCTGGTGAGGTGCGAGCAAATTTTCATTCTGAAAATGCGGCCCAGATAAAAAAAAGTTTGGGAACCACTGGTTTATGCTATTATTCTGCTTGTTCGTATGTAAAACCTTGGATCAGAATATCGTATGTTTCATTGTTAGCCTTTAGTTATGTTTTCTGATCATTTCTACATAATGTGGATAAGGAATTGGAAAGAAGAAGCAAAGGGAGTGGGTGGGGAGTGGAAACAAATGAAAGGAAAATGTAAATATATAGAGCATAGGAAGAGATGGAAATGAAACATCAACAAACTTGCTCGATAATTGGATACCAAGAGACAACAAAAGATGGAAAGGTTTAAATTGGTTTGGTTTACAGCATATCAACCTCAATGGGTTATTTGATGCCGACAAAATTTTCATTTTAGTAATATTTTTTTCCAAAAATCTATTTCCAGTAATAATTTTCCTTCAAAAGAACTATTTCCTGTAATAATTTTCCTTCAAAAGAACTATTTCCTGTAATAATTTTCCTTCAAAAGAACTATTTCCTGTAATAATTTTCCTTCAAAAGAACTATTTCCTGTAATAATTTTCCTTCAAAAGAACTATTTCCTGTAATAATTTTCCTTCACTGGTAATATTTTAAAAAAAAATGTATAGCTGGTAATATTTGTTTTTCAAATGTTTAGCTGGTAATAATTTTTCTGGTATTAAAATCTATTTTTACACTTTCATAGTGTTTTGACCCCAGTATAGGGATTAACTGTTTACCCATAGCTGGGACCCTAACAGGTGCTACCACTTCGGGTCAGGGTAGACCTGGGAACGCTAGCAATTCAGAGGTGGTTCCATGCTCCTCAAAACCTCCTGATCAGAGGCCTTGCTGTTGGATGTAGTTTATTGTCTTACTCAGGATGCAGATATAGTTTATCGTCATACCCAGGACAGGGAAAGGTTTAAAAACGATACTATATGAATAGATTGCACAGAAGAAATCTAAAAGATGGTTTGCAACAGAAATATATACATTTCGTATTCTCTTTTACTTGCATTATTTACATTACTCAGACGATTATCCTCATCTTCATTGCCATATTTGCAACATTTCACCCATTGTACCCTTCGTCCTTCTTCAGGAAACTGGAATTTCAAACCAAACCCTTCATTTTGTCCACTGACGTAGATTGTTCTAGTCCCACGTGCCATGACTCTTCTGAGTGTCTCGGTTCTTTCCCTTTAACTTAACCCTCCAAGTTTTTTGGTTCACCACCGCTGTGGCCTGGTATTGGACTCACAACTCTTTAGGTCTAGTCACTGGATCTAACCAACGTCTTTATCCACTGGGCTGAAACATTATGAATACGGCAATGAAAATGAGGATAACAGTCTGAGTAATGTAATTATTTAATCATAATCAAATCTGTAACATAATCAAATTATGTAATCATGATACCTCATCTCAGAGATATAGACAGGTATTCTCTTTTGCACATATTTTTATGACATAGACATAAGAACCTAGATGGCAATGCAAAGTTAAATGGATAAGAAAGAGAGAATGAGAAAATGCAAACAAAGGTTGAGAGAAAAGCAAAGGAATGAAAAAAATGGTTAAGCTTGGTCATCGACACCTGTGGAATTACCGTGAGTCCAGTTGATTTGTGTTAATTGCTATTGGTTACAAAGTGTAAGGTTAAGTGTAACCAATAAATTAGTCATTGAGGTTTTTTGTTTTCTTACTACATGATGGCAGAATCACTGAAAAGAATGGAAATGGTTTGATTCAGTTCAAAACTTGTTTTTTTGTCTCTCCACAGACGCAGTACACAAAAGCTGAAGCACATTTTTATGTAACTTATCTTCCAAAAGTTCTCCACAATTGGAAACTGGCTGTTAAAATTATAAAGAGGCAAAAATGGTTGAAGGCAAAAGGACAGGATTATTGGGAGTGCGTAGCTTTTTTTCTTCCCTTTTTTTTTTTTTTTTTGTTTGTTTTTTTTTGTTTTTTTTTTTTTGTTTGTTTTTTTTTTTTTTTTTTTTTTTTTTTGTTTTCATTCTTTTGATTTTTTTCCTTTTCCTTTTCTTTTCCTTTCCTTTTCTTTTCCTTTCCTTTTCTTTTCCTTTCCTTTTCTTTTTCTTTCCTTTTCTTTTTCTTTCCTTTTCTTTTTCTTTCCTTTTCTTTTTCTTTCCTTTTCTTTTTCTTTCCTTTTCTTTTTCTTTCCTTTTCTTTTTCTTTCCTTTTCTTTTTCTTTCCTTTTCCTTTTCTTTCCTTTTCTTTTTCTTTCCTTTTCTTTTCTTTTTTTCTTTTCTTTTTCTTTCCTTTTCTTTTCTTTTCTTTTTCTTTCCTTTTCCTTTTTTTTCTTTCCTTTTTCTTTCCTTTTCTTCTCTTTCCTTTTCTTCTCTTTCCTTTTCTTTTCTTTCCTTTTCTTTTCTTTTTCCTTTTCCTTTTCTTTCCTTTCCTTTCTTTTCTTTCCTTTTCCTTTCCTTTTCTTTTTCTTTCCTTTTCCTTTCCTTTTCTTTTTCTTTCCTTTTCCTTTCCTTTTCTTTTTCTTTCCTTTTCCTTTTCTTTCCTTTTCCTTTTCTTTCCTTTTCTTTCCTTTTCCTTTTCTTTCCTTTTCCTTTTCTTTCCTTTTCCTTTTCTTTCCTTTTCCTTTTCTTTCCTTTTCCTTTTCTTTCCTTTTCCTTTTCCTTTTCTTTCCTTTTCCTTTTCTTTCCTTTTCCTTTTCTTTCCTTTTCCTTTTTCTTTCCTTTTCCTTTTCTTTCCTTTTCCTTTTCTTTTCTTTTCCTTTTCCTTTTCTTTTTCTTTTCCTTTTCTTTCCTTTTTCCTTTTCTTTCCTTTTCCTTTTCTTTCCTTTTCCTTTTCTTTCCTTTTCCTTTTCTTTCCCTTTCCTTTCCTTTTCCTTCTTTTTCCCCCTTCCCTTTCATTTCCTTTTTTCTTCCCAAAATTTTCCCTGATTTCTTGTCTTTTTTTTTTTTTTTTTTTTTTTTTTAGAGGAAATGCTATGTGCAGTACTTTTTATGCTTGGCAAGCGGCAACAAGTCGACATCAGGAATATCGAGAAATGAAAATGGCAGTAAGTATTTTTCGTTTTTTTTTTTTTCAGGATGAAATGTGTTGTCTTTTTTCTTAATGACTGTAATTTTCTGTTGCCTTTCTTTTTGAAGTCATCTATTTTTTTTTTTTTTGCTTCATTTAGAACTTGACTAGGTTCTTTACTATTTTCTTTTTTTTATCTTGACTGGTACTGTGAAGAAGCATTATCATTTTTCACAAAATTTATCAAACTTATTTTTTGTTACTTTAATTACATTTTTGTTGATGCATTCTTACACCTGCATCATTCCATCTCTTCTTTGGACTAATATCCTCATCTTACAGTCTTATTATTCCAAAACCTGTTTGGAGTAATAATCTCCTCATTTTAGTTGTCAACACCAGTGTTTCAGTCAGTCTATTCTCTGACCTTTCTCAGTTGCACAATGTGCTTGAATATTTTATGCAATTAATTATACTAGTCATTGCAGTATTTCATGTGGCGACAGATTTCAAATACTCAAAAAAAGATGAACACCATCTGGGAGTTTCTGAATAAGAAAAAGAGCACAAAAATTCCACCATCTAATTGCAGACATTAGGTTTAGGATTGTCCAAGAGTGGATAAACAATAGCTGGAAGCCCAATCCTAAACAGGAAACAAGGGATAAACCTCTGCTTCTGTTCAAAGGTCAAGGAGGAGTGTGAACTAGACTACAAGCAAAACTATCTGTCTATATTTCTGAGATGAGGTATTATGTACACTATTTACATTATTCAGACTATTGTCCTAATCTTTTGTCGCCATTTTATTACAATGTTTCGCCCTTCATATTTATTATATTTCAGATGAGGTTTATGTACACTATTTACATTATTCAGACTTTGTCCTATATTTCTGAGATGATTATTATGCACCCTTCAGTTTTGTCTATATTTCTGAGATTCATGACTATTTACATAATTCAGACTTCATCTCTTTTTGCATATTTATCACACAGTGGATAAAGGTTTTAGTTAGATCCAGTGACAGGACCCAAAGAGTGTGAATTCAATACCTAGTTATGGGTGTATATGTGTTTATAAATATATTTATGCATGTATGAATGTAAATATTAAAATACACAATCAAAAACAGTCACAAGAAAAAACAATCCCCAAAAATACAGATTATGAAACCGAACAGCCTTTCAACTTTTTATACAAAATAACCATCTTAAATTCATAAATTAATAAGGCTTCGGCATAAATTGACCCAAATAGGAGTTGACATGCCGTTAAATCCAACATCCAACATCCTAGTTATGGTGGTGAAGTTGCAGAGAGGATTTAACAGGAGATAACTGATAATTGACATTCATTAGACATGGCACGTGGAACTAGAACAGTCTACCCCAGCGAGTGAAATAAAGTGTTTAGTTTAACATTCCAACCACCTGAAGAAGGCCGGAGCATACAACAGCCAAAACGTTGTGATAAATATGGCAACAAAGATGAGGGCACTAGTCCGAATAATATAAATAGGCAAAACTATCTACTCATAATGAGGGGAAAAAAAATAAATAGTAAATAAAATTTCAGTGTTTAAGTAGACATTAAGTACAGAGTTGAATTAGACTTTAGAAGGAACACCATCTGGGAGCTTCTGATTAAGAAAAGGGGCACAAAAATTCCACCATCTAATTGCAGACATTAGGTTTAAAGCTTCACAATTACGTAACAGGATTGTCCAAGAGTGGATAAACAATAGCTGGAAGCCCAGTCCTAAACAGGAAACAAGGGATAAACCTCTGCTTCTGTTCAAAGACCGGGGAGGAGTGTGAACCAGACAACAGGCAAAGCTATCTACTCATATTGAGACAAAGAAATTTAAGTAAATAGTAAATAAAATTTCAGTGTTTGTTGAGACACTAGAAGCTACGGAATTGAATTAGACTTTAGAAGGAACCAGAAACCCAATCCTAAACAGGAAATTGCATTGCAAATGATTTTATATAAAAATGCATTGAAAGTCAAGTAGGGATTGTTGGTGGTCAGGAATCAATACAAATTTTAAATTTTTTTTTTTTTTTTTTTACAGGCTGTTTTACACTATAACAAACGTTTGTTACAAATTACAATGGAGATTTGGTTGCATCGCACATCTGATTGCTTAAATTATCGCCTCCTTGTGGTGAGTAGTACTAATTTTGATTATTAATTCTGTACACTAATTCTGGGATGTCCAGTTACCAGTAACGAACAGGAATTGTATGGTAATGTTAACACAACATTAAAAACAATTTCTTCCATATACAAAACAATCTTTGTGAAAAAAAAATTAGTTAGCTTAAAAAGAAATAGTCTAATTTGGTGATCTATGAGGTAGACAATCTTGTAGAATCTAGTAATAACACATTCACTATTTCGTTATGCAAAAACCCACAAGTAGAAACTCTTGCGACCCTAACTTTACAAGTGAATGTCCACGTAGATATAAAATAGGAGTCATAAAAAATTTCCTCAAGCGAGCCCATGAGAATTCATCTTTTCATTCACTTTTCTTTAAAGAACTTAATATGAAATAGATGCTAGTTAATAACAGTTTTCTGAATTACCTCATAGATCACCAAATTAGACTTTTTCTTTCTAACACAACCAATAGCAACTCTAAACATACAGATAAAAACAATAACATTAGCATTTTCTATGAAAATCAAATGCATGCTAACTATAAGCAGGTTGAATTTTCCCTTAGAAACATCATAAAGAAATACACAACCCCAGTTGACCAGAATAAGAAAATTAAATTAGCTACAATAAAAAATTTAAAACAGCTAACTTTATAGTCAACTACAACAGCAGCAACTCACTTTCATGATCCATAATTTGTGAATTCACATGTCCTTTAAAAAACTGCATTCCTGATCAAACCACATTCATGAATTAGTATATTGTGCATACCACTTAATACCTATCTTGAATACTCAGATTACACATGACCATAGTATCATTAGGACTCATTTAAACACACATGGAAACCTACCAAATTCCATCTGCAGTATACTTGCAAACAAAGACTAAAAATAATGGAAGCACTAATAATAAAAAAAGAAAAAAACAATACTCAATAACATCAACTAAGAAAAGGCCAACATCGACTATCAACATGGCCACAATGTGCTGACCATTTTTGGAAAAAAAAAAAACTTCCATCACTCTAGAAATGTATATAAAAATCTACACATTCAGTTAAAAACATCCTTGATAATGGCTAATAAAATAACCAAAAGCACTCGGATATAAAAAAGTTCAGATATTTTCTACACATTTTATGTCCAGAAAAATCACTTGTACAAACACGAGAAAAATTTAATAAAAAGTTTAATCACAGTATCTTGTCAGTTGTCTTTGATGAAACTTTGTGTGTGTATATATATATATATATATATATATATATATATATATATATATATAAAATTCAATCTTTTTGCAAAAATATTTGCCAAAAGAATGACTAAGAATGCTCAATACAATTTTTATACATATGTTATATATTTCATAACAGAAGAAATAAAAATTTGAAAATGTTACGTCCCAAAAATTATTAACCAACTTAGACAAGTGAGTTTCTTCCTAACACAAATCCAATTGAACATGCCTTGGAAAACCTTCTGTTTTTAATGCAACCTGTTCAGATATCCCAGAAGAGATAGCAGATCTGATATATTTGATAAAAAACTAAAATCTGCTTATGGCCAATGAACCAGTTCTTAATTTATGTAATTATTTTAAAAAATTTTTAGCTTGTAAAATAAAGGCCCTTGACTCTTTGAAACCGTTCTGTTTACTTTTGAGGATGGTGGGTATAAATATTGAATTATTAGCAAATCTGTTAATCTCACTCGGGATTGCTATCGTCCTTGCACTCTTAAAATTGTTAGAGAATGAAGATTTAAGCCAAAATGTTTTTCTCTTTTTACAGAATGAAGCAAGAAGTTATTATCGACAGAAAACTCTTCATCGATACTTGTTGGCTTGGAAGGAATATGTAGACGAAGTTCACAACACGTAAGTCCACTTGTATATAATTACTTGATAGTTTCATATGGATGTAGATGGAAACTGAGAGAACTGCCTATCAGTACAGACATAAAAGTTGCTCCGAGTCTTGTGTGGACATGTCTGTTGAAGACAGTCACATCCAGGTATTGTTCTCTCTCCTTAATAGTGTTTTTTTTTTTTCTCTCATGCTCTTAATCCAAGAGACCCAGATCTCTTTGACAAATAATGCTTCTAACTTATGAGGTATATATTTACTGCAATGAATTGTTCAGAGTGGTTGAAAATGAGAAGGTGGTGCATCTAATGTTACCCCAAAGAGAGTAATCCAAGAGACCCAGGTCTCTTTGCCAGATAATGCTTTTGACTTCTGAAGTGTATTTCACTGCAATGAATTGTTCAGAGTTGTAGTCAGGGTTACAAAATTCCTTGTACTAAATTGTCAGCATAGGCTTGTCTATCAGTGAGCTGGTCGTAATCAAAAAAACAGAAATTAGGATACTCATTTGAAAAATTTTAGGAATAACAGCAGTCTATCACTTGAAACTTTGGGGAATACAACAATTAAAACAACAAAGATGAAGATCTAATAATAATTTACGGAATAATTAGAAAATGCACCAAACAAAACCGTGATCAAAACCTGAACAACTGTGATACCCGTGTAAATTATCTCTCAAATGTTAAATTTCTGATTTTTGTTGCAGGCGATATCAGCAAGTAATATCCCTTGCTTGTTACTATGGCAACCTCCAGCGAAGATGTTTCTCTTCATGGAAGCAGGTAAGATGTCTGAAAAAAAACACTGCTCGTTAATTGACATTTAAATCTGTTCAGTCGTTACCTTTTAACCAAGAGACCGCATCAAAATGTACAAAAGAAAATCAATATTATACACTTCAAGATGAATCCATAGACAAGATTCATCCTACTTATTGTGACCGTATATTTGATTTTTATAAAAAATGTTAATGTCGTTGTTTTGATCTGTATGTTCAATGTTGCTATTGGTTATCTTAAAAAGAAAAAGTCTAATTTGGTGATCTGTGAGATAATTCAGAAAATCATTATTAACTAGCATCTATTTCATATTAAGTTCTTTAAAGAAAAGAGGATGAATTCATGTGTGCTCTCATGAGGAAAATTTTTATAGTGACTATTTTATATCTAAGTGGACATTGACTAGTAAAATTAAAGTGGCATATGTTTCATTTTACTAGTCAATGTCTTCTTTGATTGGTCAAAAGTTCTTAGAACCATCTTTTTCAATATGTCAAAAAAAACTTTGAAGCATCTATAAAGTTTAGCATTTAAGCACTTGTCTTTTTATTATTTTGCCCGAGTAAAAGTTTGAAACACGATAGTTACTGGCAATGAAAAATAGATTTATTACAAGAATCTGAAACACACTAAATGGTGGCTTGATCTGCGGCAGACATTAGCACCTTCTACCACTCCAGAAAGTACCCAACTCCTCATGCTATCCTCTACCTTTATACAGCCAGATAAAGCCGAAAATGGAGTACTGTTATCACAATTGGGCAGGAACTGCCCATTCTTCACTTTCCAGTCGTGATAGTTCAAAAGGGGCTTTGAGTGCTTGTTGGAGAAGAATTATTTTCCAACCTCCAACTTCTCTCTCAATGTTGGGATATGGCAAGCCTCTCGCTGCTCTATCACTACTTCCATAGAAAGTGCTCAGACAAACTGCATTTCTTTGTTCTGCCAGGTCTAATCTTCATGGCTAGGACCTACCATGTCACTTACATTGTAGTAAACCACCCACGTTCTCTCCATATTCCAGTAAGTTCCACTTGAATAGCTTCTTCTTCCCAAGAACCACTATTCTGTGCAACATACTCCTTAGGGCATCTTTCCCCAATCACTACAATCTTAAACTGTTCAAGTCTAGAGTTAACTGTTATCTTCCCCTTCTATCCCTATAAACTGCCCCTTAATGTAACCCTCTACCTGGAGTGGCACCCAGGCTTTGTACAGGGTGAACCTTACTGTAAAAAGATAAAGTAGTTTAATCTATTTCATGACCTTGAGCCTAGGACAGTTTCTCATCAACTGTTCAGCTTTTTCTACACACCATGGTTTAATTCTCATTTGGTTTGGTACAAACAAAAACCAGAAAAGCCTTAGCATACTTTCAACAAAGACACTGAAGGTAAAATATTGCATGTGGAGGACAGTCTTGAACACAGACGTCTTAAGATATCACCTTTGTGTGAAAGACCCTGTTGGTCTGTTTGTTGGTTGTGGTAAACTGGATTCTTCCCTTGTTGATTCACCTAGCATTGTCCGGAGATTGGTAACTGAAACTTGGCATGCTATCTTCTCTTGTGATAGAACAATGGACCAGATCTTCATTTTGACCAGCGAAAACTCCATCTAACTCTATATCTCTTTTTGCTCTAATTGTGACTCTGCCAGTTACTGCAACTAGCATGCAGCATAACTGGAATTCCCTATCTTCCTGCTAAGTGCCGCTTGCTCTCAAATGTTTACTGTTCATTTGACTGCATGGATGTCCTAACCAATCAAGTGACCACATTGTGTTACAGGTTTCTAAATTGCATTAAGGCTACACTACCAATTCTCAAGATATTGAAAAATGGAGGCCTGAAAAATAAATGAAAGCATTTTTTTTTTTTTTTTCCAGTTTTGCAAACACCAACAAGAAAAGCGTAAACGTCTCCAAGAAGCTACTGATTACCATCAAAGAGGTCTGTCTGTAAAAGTTTGGAAAATGTGGAGAAACTACATTCTTCATTGCCACCAAATTTTAAATACCGTTGAGCAAAAATATCACAAAGTTTCCGTAAGAACTCTCCGGTGAGTTTTTGTTCTTGGATCTAAAAATGACCCTTTTTACATTACAGGGTGTGATGGATAAATTGTTGCCGTTTTATATTTTTAATTTTGTGCGTTGGTTGTTTTTGATTTTGACTGCACAGTATAGTAAGGTCAGTTGGGCACCGTCTGGGAGAAAAAGACGCAATTCACTCCATCAGAAATTTGGAAATGGCATGCAGTACTGCTTGGCAAACTGAGGACACTGCAGAGGATTTAGAAAGAGTTGGATGAGTCTAATGGTGATTACAAAGGTATGGCAGCTTAGAAAACTCATTCTGATAAAAGAACTCCCAAATTTGTTGGTGAGAGTTTCAGACTCAACACTGAGGCCTACATCAAGTGCCTTGAGGAGGTAGTGCTGCCCTGGGACAAGAGAGAGGCAACTGGAAGACCCTATGTCTGGCAACAGGACTCTGCACCATGTCACACAAGAAGGGATCCCAGTCATGGCTGTCAGACAATTTCTGCAACCACATCACACCTTACATCTGGTCACCTAACTCCACAGACTGCAACACCCTTGATGATTATGTGTGAGAGGAGCAGTTGAGCAAGAGACCTGTAGAAAAATCACGTGGTCGAGATAAACATTCAGTTGTGGAGCAAGCTAAGTGAATCATAATTCAACCTTGAGAAAGAGAGCTATTTATGGTGCCATGGAGCATCTCATTGTGCTAAAGTGGGATAGTCCATTGCTTGGGCTGTGAATGGCTGCTGGTACCTGAGTGGAGGTATTTCTGTATGAATACCAGCTTGATTTATCAGTTAGTTTGCAGGGTTTGTATTGAGTTACAACCTGCTTTATTTTTGTCTGCCAGCTGGATGCTAGCTGGGACCTTTACACCGGTAAGTGCTGTTTATTGTATTGTTATTCTACAAGACCAACAAAACTTGTAACACCAAAGTCACGTCTGTTTACAATAAGAGAAAAAAAAGATCGTTTTGTTTACAAGGACAAATGGACCTAAAAATACGAGATTGATAACAATTCATCTCTTGTAATTATTTTTAACTTTTCAATTTAAAAAGAAAATCAAATGTTTCATTGGTGTAGTAAGGGGTGCATTTCAAACCTGGTTACCTGAATTTAATTCCTTATTTTAAGGTGGGCTTTCCATATTTGGCATGACAACAGTCTTGAAGCATCCCAGAATCGCAAGATTATGAAGAATGCTGAGTGGTATCACAATCAACGTCTTCTTACAAAGGTAAGTCCTGGGATGTCCAAACTTTTTTCAAAGAAGGACAGATTTTTTTGAGGTGAATATTTATTGATTTTCCAAGTGTAGCTTAGATGTGGCACAAGGTCGAAAGTATGGAGCATCCAGTAAGGATCGAACTCATTACTCAGTTGTAATTGTTCTAGTGAAACAAGCCTGCTAACCATTACACTACCCTGAGGTGCCCCGTTGAGGTGAATATGTATGTATGTGTGTGGGTAGGGGCAACCATTCTACTTGGCATACTTTGAACCATTAAAATTAAACGCAAATGGACGATCTTATGAAAATTTTATTGCAAATGGCATATTTTCATGGGTGACAAGTAAATTTAAACAGGTCTTACCAAAGTCACTCATCTTGCCATATCTGAAGCCCATATAAGATGAAGTAAAATATGTCCGAGAAAAAAAGAATTTCCAGGAAACTATTATATCAGGTTTATCTTAAACATTACATATTATTGGCAATTAATATTGTCAACTTTTAAGTTAAAAACATATGAATAGGAACACAACACCAACATTCATCTTATTAAGAAGTAGAAAATAAAGTGACACAAGTTCAAGTGTCCAAATGTATGTATAACTGATTTTGACCGACACAAAATAAATTTACATTATTCGGACTATTGTCCTCATCTTTTTCACCATATCTATCACAACGTTTCAGCCGTTGTATACTCTGGCCTTCTTCAGGTGGTTGGAATGTCGAACTTAACTTTTTATTTCGCTCACTGGAGTAGACTGTTCTAGTTCCACGTGCCATGTTTGCCTCAAGGACACATGGCACAGTGGATAAAGGCTTTGGTTAGATCCAGTGACAGGACCCAAAGAATGTGAGTTCAATGCCCGGTTAAAGCAGTGGAAAACTTTCAGAGGGAAAATTAACAGGAGATAACTGATAACTGACATCCATTAAACATGGCATGTGGAACTAGAACAGTCTACCCCAGTGAGCAAAATAAAGGGTTCGGTTCGACATTCCAACCACCTGAAGAAGACCGGAGCATACAACGGCCGAAACGTTGTGATAGATATGGTGAAAAAGATGAGGACAATAGTTCGAATAATGTAAATAATGTACATAATACCTCATATCAGAAATATAGACAGACCCCAAAATAAATTTAATTGACTAAGATTTTAGAATTTATTCATCTCAGATGACCAAGACAAATAATTTGCTTGCACTAATGTGAAGGTTAATACTGAGATCTGGACTGCAGTATGAAGGCCAGGTCTGGTTCAAAGGCAGTGATTTTAGAAATTGGCTAGAAAAGTCTGAGGTCAGGGTCACACCACCAGCGGACAGCCACACAGTGCTGCTGCATCTTTTGGTAAAAAAATGAAATAGCATTTCTTAGATGTGTACTTTACATACTCTGATTGACACTACTGGCAGGCCGTAAGTGATACATTCTTGACAGAGGATAGGAGTCATATGAAATTTGACTGTGGGTCAGACTTTGGACATGCCTGGGTGAGTCAATATGTTTTAAAGAAATAAAGTCTCTTATGTAATGATTTATACTTTGTTTTTGTGACAATTTTAAAACATAAACCCAATGCTAGTGTTAACCTTTACCATGCTTAATTTCTTTCTAGAGTTGTCTCCCCTGCCACTATAAATTTTTTTTTTTTTGAGAGTGCAATACATGAACACCTACTGCTTTAAAATTACTATAATTTTCTTTGTATTGTGTGTATAGATTTTAATTTTTGTACACTAATAAAAGAATGAATGAGTAATATTTTGATGTAATGCATTATGTTTTGATGTTGAAAACAAAACAAAAAATCCAAACGTGAAATAAAAACAAACACATTAAAAAATACATAAATAATTCAATGTTCTTTATCTTTTATTACTCCTTGTGGAGTTCTGGGAGGAGGGGTACAGTAAGAAGCAAAATCGCTAAGGCTTTCATTTCGTCAAAAAAGGGACGTGTTTACATACGATATTTGTTTGCTCTTTCTTTCACCTGACTCATATTTATTTGTCTCGTTGAAGAATAAAGTTATTATTTTGTCATTTATAAAGAGACAAAATAATTCCTCTTCAGAAAGGCTATCAGGTATATAGATGGTCGCCAGTAGCTTCCATAAAATTAGTCAGGTATGAATAATAGTAGCTGCTAGTCGTCATGATTGCTTTCTCTTCACATCACTAGTGTGGTTATCATCTTTGACCACTTCACCGTCAATATCCACTCAAGTAAAGCCTTCAAAATCATCATTGGAGTCCTAATCAAAGAAAAACTCCTGAATAAAGGCGTTGTTGGATATTGATGTAGTCATTTTTGTTTACCAAAAATTGTGAAAAAATTAACATGGGTTTAATCGGTGTTACACCTTGTGTAGAGTCTAGAAGAATTCAAAATGGCATTGGAAAACGTAAGTTTAGCCTTGTCCCAAAGCAGTAGTAGGCAATTTCCAGTTTTAAATACCAGAAATAACAGTTTATTTATAGCAATCGTCTCAAGGCAACAGAATGCACCAAACAGTAGCAAAGGGAGAGAATTCTATGGTGACAATTGTTGCTTGCAGTGTAGTAAAGGTTAATTAATGTTTAAAATAAAAATGTCTTTTTTTTGTCAGGTGTTGGGGACCTGGAGAAACTTTGCCGCCATCCAAGCATACAAGAAATGTCAAATCCGGACCCTTGTATTGTCAGCTCAACATACTTTACATTCAGGTATTACTTAGATTTTGGCAAGAGGGTCAAGCTGAGAACTTTTCAGCACTCCTTCATAACCATGTAAATAAGTGGTGCTTTTTTTTTTTATATATTAAAAAATACATTTAAATATCGTCTTCTTAAATATAATAGTTACTTAAGTATTTATAGAAACATAGAAAATCTTTGATGTTGTATAGCTCCTCCTTCTTAAAGACACCCCCTTTATGGAGCAAAGAGCCACAGTCTCACTACTTAAGGTGTTGCTGCTGTGGTTTCCATAAAATGGCTGCCAACCAAGGTTAGAGTCCTCAGTCTGTCCTGCTATTTAATCCATAGCTTGGGAGAGAAAAGTTGAATTCATACCTTGTGCAAAAGTGAATGCAACAAACTCAGCGTGTGGAAGTTTTGATGGAGGTATCAATATATAAATCTTCTATGTGCTGTGTCCCTTCAGGATGTAAGTGATCATGGCTCTCCACAACCTCTTGTCATTTGTAGCTCTCAATAAATTTTGTCTTTTCATGATCTCTCCCAAACCCTGCTCCGCCATCTATTCACTCAAGCTTGCCAGATAAGTTATACATTTTTTTTTCTCTCTTGCCTTCAATCTGACTTGTAAGTGTCAAATTTCCCAAGTCCTCTTTCCTCATTATCTGCCATACAAATTTAAATGATCTCTTTGTGTCATTATTATTTAGTTATCCTATTTGTTTAGTTTAAGATATTGGCTTCGTCTAAAGTATGTTGTGTTATCTGAGTTATATATTTTGCATATACTTGCATTTTTATAGTGGTATTTTACAAGGTACTCATTTTTAGTTTTCAATTTTTAAATAATGAAGTAAAAATTTGTTTTTATGCCTGCATCTTGAGATGAGTTCTGATCATTTATTTAGTAATTTGTGTTGATCGGGAAGGTGATAATAGCTATTTTCTCCAGACAGTTTACAATTTTTGGATTTATTGTTGTAGGCTGAAGTGATTTTCTTTATTTTCCATGATGTTTTAAGTGTAATTTGGTTTTTGTTTTTAATTTTCCATATATGTTTAGAAAGCATTGTGCTGTTTGTATATTTACTTGTAAAGGATGATGCATTTGTGTGCATAATTTCTGTTTCCAAGGTCCTTCAGTTAGTCCTATGTATATTTTTCTTTATTATCTGCTGATTTTATTTTGGCTTGGTACATTAAATTGTTTTGCAAGCAATTGCCATTTAAGGGGCATTCTGCAGTTGCATATGGGTTTGATTTGGGCAGTGGTTTGTTGGTTATTTTCCTGCTGTGCTTTATTATTTGTTGTGAACTGTGTTTCTATTGAATATCTTGTGAAAACTGCTAGATGCAGGAAATGTTTATGAAATGAATATTTTTCCTATGTTTGTTTTTAGATTTGTGTGATGGCACGTATAATTCAATGACGGACCTAAAAATATTTCTACAGAATTAAAAAAACAAAATTATTTCTTTAAAGGGTTTTATTTATCATCAAATAATTTCCAAAAAATTTAATAAAATGTAATAAATATCTTTTTATTATAGTTTGAAAATTTTTTTTTTTTTTTTTTTGTCATCTCCAACTTTGAGTTATTTATGATATTATTGCTCAGCCTAGGGTAGGGATTGTCCAGACTGAGTTGGATGAGAATGTATTATTCCAATATATTATCTCACGCTTAGTACGAATGTTACGCCTTGACAATACCTCATAAATAATGACTATTCCATTTTGAGCGAGTTGATAGAAATGACATATCAGAGACAGTGCGTAATTTCAGTGAGAAAATGAAAGAAATAAGCGAAGATAGAACTGTTATCAGAAAATTTAAATAAGACAACCATTAAATTTTCACAGGTATTTCGCGGAGAGAATAATCCGCCATGGAATTTCTACCTACTGCTTATAATTTTTTCATTTAATCTGCGCATTTTCTTTTGCATATATTTTCAGCTTTAGTTCATCGTCTGTTCATCAAGTGGCAACAATGTTGTCATGAAAGCATTGTAAACAAGCAAAAAGAATTTTTGGCAACATCCCACCATCGGCTTGCTGTTCTTCGGAAATCAATTAAAACCTGGAAACTATGGCTTCTCTCCACGTACAGAAGAAAGGTAACGTATAAAGAAACAATTGTGATTAATAAAAATCAATAAGGATTTTAGAAATCTTCCATTTGTCCGTACATTGAATACTGTTGCCATATCTTGGCAAAATCCAAAGAAAGGGTCTGTAATGTAATCGATCCTGATCAGGCGTCATCAATTCAGTTACCTTCTCACCATGGCTTCTCTCTATCTTTTCTACAAATATTTTCATGGCAATTCTTCTGATGAGCTTTTTTTTCCTGGTGACTTGACCACATGAATTTAAGCATGCTACTAGATTGGTAACTAGGTTCCGCTTGTTTACTGTTGAACTAGCTAGATGCAGCCGTCACTTCTACTCTAACATTTTTTCTTGCACTTGTCAATCTCCCTTCTGATTTCTTGCTTCCCTGATAACTACAATCTTCAAAACTTTGTCAATTGCTATCTTCTGTCTTCTTCAAGCCTGTTCCTTTTCTTTTTTTTTTTTTTTTTTTTTTTTTTGTTCTTTCCCCAATCCTCCTCCTCCTCCTCAGCTGGAGTGAAAAGAGATAGATTCATAACTAATCAGAATTTAATAAACAATTATAATGTGAACATAAAGTGGGGGATCAATTCTATATTATAATCAGTATGTAAATTGATCACTCACTTTGTGGCCATGGTAGTTTCTATATATTTATATTATACAGAATGTAAATAAATCTAAAAGACATGCCTGTGTAGCTAATCGGTATTTCATTGATTGATTATCTCGTTTTTTATGACTTATCAACCCCTGCATTTGAGGATGTAAACGTTTGAAAATTAATTTTCGTAGTCCTCTATGAAAAATGATTAGTATTGTGTGACAGTATTTGGTGATATACTGAGTTCAATCCCTGGAGTAGGTAGTAACGACAGATTCAGTGGGAACAGGTAGAGCAATAACTAACCTGTCAGTCAGTTATGTGCCATGTGTGATACATGCTTAGGCAATCATATATCTTTCAATACATGACTGACGAGGTAGATTTTTTTCCTGCAGTAGGTTGCCATCGAAGGCTATAGAACCCTGGTCTGTCCGGCTATTTACCCATAGCTGGGGGAAGAAGAGGAGGATTCAGACCTATTAGCACATAAGTGAATGTAATTGATTTGACTGGAATTCAAACTCGGCTTTCTGATTCCTCAAACCTAGCCGCTATCCATTATTATACCATGGGGTAAGTTGTTATGAAGATAACCTAATCTAATGTTATACAGAATCCACCAAATTTTGACTTTTTTCTTTTTATAAATCAAAAGGAATGTTTCTTTTTTTTTTTTTTTTTTTTTTTTGTTTCAATTCCAAACTAGGTCAGAACATTGCAGCCATTTTCCTAATTGTTATTGAGAATTGCTTTCTTCTTTTTCGGTGATAATTCTTCCATTACTTTTAAACATTTTCTGCATTTAGTCTATTACGTTCGTGTTTTCTACAAGTATGTTGTGGATAATGGTAGGTCTCTGCAGGTATTTAAATCGGTCCTAATGATGCTGACTGTGTTGGAAAATTAAAAACATTTCTTTTTGATATAAAAAAAAAAAAAAAAGTAATCTAGATATTCAAACAAAAAAATGTCCTGAGTTATGGCTAACAGATTATCCAAAAATACTTGCATCAAAAGATCATTTGAACAGTCCCTACGCAGTCTGTCCAAAAAAGAAATCACTTGTACAAATGCAAGAAAAATATAGTAAAAAGCTTAATTGCAGTGGCTTGCCAGCCGTCTACGCTGAAGTCGCAGTGGCTTGCCAGCTGTCTACGCTGAACTACATCTGCGTCTTGGGTAGGACGATAAACTACGTCCAACAGCAAGGCCTCTGATCAGGAGATTTTGAAGAACTCTGAATCACCTCTTAATTGCTGGTGTTCCCAGGTCCACCCTGACCCAGGGTGGTAGCATCTCTTAGGGTCCCAGCTATGGGCAAATAATTAACACCCAAACTTGTGTAAAATTTACGTTTTAATACCAGAAATACTTCGTAATAAAAAAAAAATGTATTACCAACAATAATTTTTGAAGGAAAAATTATTATCTACCAAGTGAGAAATTTAAAAAACTTTTTATGAAAATTAAACCACCCAAGATTGTAAATTTCCTAAAAGTTGGATTGTACTAAAAAATGAGTAACTGAAAAATGGTTCAAATATATATGTATACATACACACCTTTTTTTTTACCAAACTATCGCTATGAATCTATTTTAAAAATTTTGTTGGCATTAAATGACCCACTGAGGTTGATATGCCATAAAAGAAAACAACCAATCAATGAAGTCGCAGTGCCTTGCCAGTCATCCTGAATGAAGTCGCAGTGCCTTGCCAGTTGTCTTCAATATATATAGGCAATAAGAATTCTATCAAATAGGTTTTGTTCTTCCCCCTTGAGTACACGTCTCTCATAAATGTGTGTACCTCAAGACATCCAGAGATAGATAAAATTGTTTAAAATTTGATGTATTTATGATGGAGGATTGCTCAGTATCACGGATATAACGTATGTAAATATAATATTTGTTATTTTCTTTTTACAGTTACTTATACGACAATCTTTGTATTTTCGCCGTCAAGTCTTGCTTACTGCTAGCTTTAACCAGTGGATGAAGCAATTGACGTTTGTCCATCATGAAAATCATCAGACTCAAATGGCTCTTTGGCACTGGAGTGTCACTCTACAACGAAAGGTAACATGTTCAAAGCATTCTGGGTCTCAAAGCTTTGGGTTTTGACCTTCATCATATATATCTGTTGGATATACTGCTCTTTGAAAGTTTTTTGGGAGGGATGTTTCCTAGAATTTCTTTCATCTTAATTTTGCTTGAAATGGAACTACTGCTACAAAAACCTTGAAGACATATTCTGAAATAGCTATGTCGGATTGAAACTCTCATGTGGATGATGGTCATGGCGGCCAACTCACCAAATGTCTAAAACTATCAGCTATATAAAAGTGTCTTCTTAGATCAATGATTTAAAAATGGTTTCGAGTAAATGAATCCTTGAAATCTTAAAGAAGATAATCCTTCATCAGATTTCATAAACTGGTTTTACAGAATCACAAAGAGCTTTACCAAATCACAAAAACTCATGTCACTTGAAGACTTCCAACAGCGGCAACAACTAAAATGAGTAGCTCATATAACTACAGGGTGCCTAGTAAAAAGTGGCAAATTCATTATCACTGTTTTATCTTTCAGGAATAATTGACCTTGAATATCCTTGAGAATTCATGACCTTGAATAATCATTAGACTCTTGCGTAATTACTTAACTCTGATTAATTCTTTTATGATCGATTAACTGCTACTCGATTTTGTGACTTATCACTTAAAGGTTATTTGCAGACAACATTCATCTTTTGTTTTGCTTTTCTTGTGTAGCTAAACAACTCAACTGATTCTGAATATCGAGTTATCGTACTTTTCAAAGAAAAACCTCCAACATGAGGATTGACGAAATGTGCAGAAATTTTTCAGTTACATCGCCAGTTTTCAATGGTTGTCTCCTATCTTTCTGAATTTGCTGACAGGAAAATAACGATTCCATCAAGGTGTTAACTTTCCACACTACCTTAAACAAAAGGTTAGGAAGGAAACTCCCATCTATACTGGAAAGAGCAGTAATTGAATTTGAGACATCTAATTTCCTAAGAAAGTTCTTTAAGAGATTTAATAAAATTCTGTTCGGAAACATCTTGTCTCACTCTGACCATGACTCAGACTATCGGCCTTTGGTCATCTTTATCCTTTACCCGACTAAACTCTTTCTAGAATTGTCCCCGACACTTCATTTGTTTTGAGGACGCAAAAAAACGAGTACCTACTATTTTAAAATTGTTATAGCTTTCTTTGTATTGCGTGTATAGATTTTATTTTTTGTATACTAATAAAAGAATGGACGAGTAATATTTTGATGTAATGCATTACGTTTTGCATGCATGTTTTGATGTTGAATACAAAAGAAACTGAAACAAAAATACATTAACAATTTAACATAATTTTATTACTCCTTGTGGAGCTCTGGGGTGCAGTAAAAAGTAAAATGGCTAAGAAGGCTTTCATTTCATCAAAAGTGACGTCATGTTTACATACGAGTAGACACCAGCATTTGTTTCATCTTTCTTTCACCTGACTAGCATATTTTTCTTGTTGACAAATAAAGTTATTATATCGTCATTTATAAATAGATGAAATAATTCACCTTCAGAAAGGCTATCAGGTATTTTCATGGGGCCATTTGCTTCCATAGAATTAGTCAGCCATGGATGATGATAGCCGCTCAGCACATAGCGGTCATCATCTCTTTCCTCCATATCACAAGTGTGGTTATCATCTCCAACCATTTCACTGTCAATATCCACTTGAGTAAAGCTCTTCAAAATCATCATCAGAGTCTGAATCAAAGAAAAACTCTTGAATAAAAGCTTCATTGGATGTTGACGCAGCCATTTTTATTTAAAAAAAATTTAGCATAGCTTAATCAGTGTTACACTTTGTGTAGAATGTAGAAGAATTCAAAATGGCATTGGAAAGTGGAAGTTTAGCCTCATTTCAAAGCAGTGGTAAGTGTTTTCCAGCTTAAAATACTGGAAATAACAGCTGACAAGTGTTTATTTATAGCAACTGTCCCTAGAGCAACTAAGGGAGAGAATTCTATGATGACAATTTTCAACTCCAGTTACATAAAGATTAAATGGCGCTGATCAAAATTAAAGAATAAGCTCTTAACAAAACTGGAACATACATCAGTTTTGCCTTGGGAAACTCTTTTTTCCATAACAGCAGCTCTGCTACTCAAACTACAAGGAACTCTATGGCTGCAGAAGATCAGATCTAATATTTGAAATTTATTCTCAATTATTCTAACACACTATAGAAAAACTCTGTGAAATCCTGCAAAACGAAACTGCTCTCTGTTAATCATCTGAGAGAACACATCTACCGTCCATGAGTATGGCTGATGCTAGCCTCCAGGAGACTGACTTGTTGCACCTTCATTTGCTGCTGACATCAAGTGGAAAGATTATATTGACAGTTGCTGGTTATTTAAAGCTGAAACATATTTCAGAGATTGCTTACTTTTACCGGGGGGGGCATGAAACTATGTTTCCCTGTGCCTTTTCCTTGAACAGAAAATGAAATGTTATGGTCATAGTCTTCATCTGTGGCGAAACTACTTTGTTGCACACGTTCATAGAAATTGAGCAAAATTTACTTTTTAACTAGTGGGGCTCATTTTTTTTTTTTTTTGTCGCCTCCTTCTTGGCCGGTCCATTTGATTGTCCAATACCTGCAACTGGTTGATGAGCTGATTGCTTCAATCCAAACCTTGCCTCATCCCACGTTGTGTTTAGTTTTGATCATAAGGCTGGCAAAGGATTGAATTGTCGACAGGAATCAATGTATTCGGTTGGGTCAGACAGAAGGAAGATGCAAGTGAGAGAAAAAAAAATAACTTGAATAAAAATAAGTGCTTTTATATACGTTCTTTTGTACAGTGCTTGGTTAGTCTTGATGTTAAAATTTATCAATTCCTCATGCAGAAAATTACTAGCCCAACCCGCTTAAGTTGAACATGACACTTTGGCTGGTTTGGCTCAAGGCTTATGTCAGGGGTTCTCTTCAGGCAGGCAGGCAGTCATGTGATATCAGGCAACATGGTCATCTCTCGTCTCAGCATCTGCAACAACTGTCTCACCCACTTCAATTTCTTGCATTTATTGATATTCACCCAAAATTGGCATAGAGCCTGATGTGGTTAGGAGATTTGGTCTTTCACTTATCTTCCAACAAGAGCTCTTTTGTGGTCTGGCTCTGGGAAATTAATTACCCTTCCAAAATTGGGGAGATCCCCTTTTCCTGTGGGCAGTGTTCACAGGTATCGATTTGCCTCAATAACTTCCTCTTTCTCTAATTGGTATCTCACACCAATACTTCCCAATATGGGTGTGGACAATTCCTCCACCTACCTTGGTATTTCACCTGCACCTGCCACCTTGGCTACCCTTTGACCAATCTAGCTCCCGACCAATTGGAATGACTTAGGGTCATTAATTAAAAAAATTATCATTTCAAATTTTGCTTACACAAAATTTTCTCAGCCTGGTTTTAGCTTAAAAATCAGAAATTTACCAGGTGGTTCCTCTAGCCAGCCATTCCATCAAACCTGCCAGAGTTGTTGCACTCCAAACACCCTAGGTTACACAAAGAAACTCTATTCTCAAGATTTGATTACAGATCGAATTTTATCCGTCTTATTTATATTGTGTTTTAGTAACCAATGCTTGTCAAGCTGCCTCATTAATCAGCTGTCAGCTTAAAGATCGCTACATGGCTTCTTGCGGTAATATCGTCTTTCTTTAAGTAACTTTTCTGGTTTAGAGAATTAAGCTTTCCTTTTGAAAAAAGAAAAATTTCCCTTTTGTTCTATCGGTCTGTCCATCGTTCTATTCGTTAACCCTTCTCGTTTCGTTCTAAGCTATGTTATTGATTTAACTCTCTTCTTTCCATTTATCAGTGTCAAATAGTGCCACACTTTTGCTTGCCACTGAATATGAAGTGGGTACTGAAAAGTTCTTGGCCCGGCCCTCTCCCCCCAAATCGGTATTTTGATATTTTGTCCCCTTGCACCAAATTAAAAATATTTGTTGAATTTTTTTTGCAGGTACTGCTTTCTTGGAAGGCTTACTATTCTGAACAGTTACGGAAACGGGGTCGCATCACCTCCGCTATTTCTGCTCGCCGTCAGCGTCTTTTGCGTGAAGGTCTGCAGTGCTGGATTTCTGCAGCTGATCAACTAACCAGCTGGAGAAAAACAAAAGCCAACCAACAGCAAATACAGGTTGGTGGACAAAGAATTGCTCTTTACAATTATATTAAAATTTAACAGAATTTTATTTACATCATATATATATATATATATATATATATATATATATATGTGTGTGTGAAAATATATAGAAAACAGGAAAGAACTTGTTAGGTAAATAAACCAAAGTTCTTTAGTATTTTTGTTATTATTTTTTTAAAAATAATAACAAAAATACTGTGATCGATACAAAAGTAGAGCCTAAATATAATTATTTATTTAAAAATATGATTCCAACACTACATAAGAGTTCTCATGTTTCAAAACAAGAGCCGAAAACTTCAATATAATTATTTGATTTAAATTGAATTAAAATACCAAGTTCTGTTCCATCTTCAAGTGAAATTTTTTTTTGGAATAACTAATTCTTGAAATTTAGGTGTTTTATAAGCATATTCATTATTAAAATTACAATGGTAATGGCTAGAGCAATTATTTAAAAAAAAGGGGGGGGGTGGCGTAAGGGTTAATAATTTGTATCAATATCTCAGTTGCATTCAAAGACATCAAATCAGGGTATGGTTGGGGTGTCTAAATTCAAAGCGGAAGATGACATCGTCTAGTCTGGTTAAGTGTCTATGGAGATTTATTTATTTTATTTTTTTTCTGAAAGGGTTTTGTGTATATAAAAAAAACTCATAATTCGCTAACATTTGTTTTTTAATGACTTCATAAAGGTTTTAACTTGAGTTAACGGTTTTTGTCGACATCATCAAATTCATGGTTTGAATAATTAGCTAAAAACAAGCATACAATATAATAACTTTTATAATCCATAGCCCAAATAAATAGTTTAAATACCCTACAAAAAAGATAACCCCTTTATGAAGTCGTCAAAAAACAAATGTTACGGCAGTTTTTTTTTTTTTTTATATTGTATAGAGTTACTTTCATAGATGTCAAGTCAGGGGTGTCTAAATTTGGTACAATTTATGGCTTAAATAACAGAGAAACTGTTAACATCAAGAGTGCAAGTATGCACATGACATATGCACAATCACCTGCAGGAAGACGGGGAGTGCTTTAAGGGTGACACTTGCCCCTTCCTTCATGGATACTTAGGGTGAGTCAACGATATTTCTGGAATAAACCGTTCATTCTCTTACCCAACCCCTAATAACTATAACTTTACACACTAACGTTCTACCATGAGTGGCTCTTGGGCATTGTACTGGATGAACATTAGTTAAAAAAATATATCGACTTCATTGCAAAAATTCTTTCATTTTAATTTTCTTATCTAGTTGGCTGTTTCTACGTACAACAATGTTCAGCGTTTTGCTCAACACTGGCGAGAGAAGACAATTCGAGGAAGATCACAAAGGGCTGCATCAGTAGCGCCACCTGTAAGAACCATCAAACAACATCCATTTGGAGATGTCTTTCCTAAAGTCTCAAGTGGCGACCCCAGCATTTCTTGGTTAGTATTGCATAATCATAAGGCAGGAAACTCTTCTTATAATCAGCAATTTGTTGATTCTTATCCATTCCTTGTTAATTCTGTACTAACCCAAAAACTAGACACCACAACAGCATTTCTAACAACAACACAAAACCCTCTAACACTCTTTCTACGAAACTTGTATATAAATTAGTTATCCCTAATATTTGAATCTTTACCACTATGTCCAAGACATAGTGACAAGAGATATAATTAGGAATAAAAATAAATCCAACACCAATTCAGATGTGGTACTTATCAAATGAATTTCTTACAATGTAAAAGAATTTATATTGGAGAGACATCACAAACTCTAAAAGCATGTATCTATGAACACAAAAGAGATTTACATTTGAATAACCATTCTAACTTGCTCGTAAAACACAGGAACAAACCTGGCCATAACTTTGATTTTACAAATGCCACTCAAATTAAAAAAGAACATAATTCTTTACATTGAAAGTAATTTAAAGGCTTACTAAGAACAATATTATCAACTATGAACACACATCAAAAAACATTACATCAGTAACCGTTATTGAATCGATTCTTAAAGAATCTAATAGGTGCCTCCACTAATTCGCTGAAAACGAGTATACCATGATGAAAAAGGCACCAAATTTAATAAAAACAAAGTTTTATCGTCAAAATGTTTGTTATTATTAAGAGGAAAGATCAATGTATTTTTTTATTATTTTATTAAATTTTTTAATCCTTTCTAGCACATTCAAAATTTTTGTAATATAAATTGATTAGTATGAGAAATTTTATCATCTTTTTGTGGTAAAAAACACACTTGGAAAATCTTGTAAAAATCAAATAATTGTTGGATTTTAATGAAATTTTCAGGACTTATTCACAAATGAATGAAACATGGCCAACTAGTATTATAAGACCCTACATTTACATAACAAGCTGAATTCTAACAGACTGATTTAAACAAAGAAAAAATGTAAATGGCTGCTTAGAAAATTGCTAATCTAAAAGGGAGATAACTTTTAAAATTGTTAATTTACATTCTCAAAAGTCAATGTACAATTACATACAATTTATCAAACGTTATTTCAATTCCTTAGACATGTTTTCAACACTAAAATGCATATTTATACCTTTTCTTTTTTTTAACTAAACTACGAATTATAAACGGCTGTGAATTACCTCGTTTTTATCATTTTCAGTTGTGTATATGGCCCGTTTTGCAAATGAACAAATGAACCTACACTCTTTCTGTCTTTATTTCAGTTATTCAGAGGTGTTGCACACTATCCATCGGCCACAGCCTCTCTATCCATCTTTTTTAGATGAATCCCAAGACGTCGAAACCCAAAATTACAAGTGAGTATTTATGGGGTTTCTGCTAAACAAATGTTCCCAAAGCAACCAAACTTTTAAGAATCAATATTATAAAATTACTGATGAATGTCTATTTCCTCTTCTCTTTTGTAGGTCCGATGTCGTCGTTGAGATAAAAAAAAACGAAACTGAAGACGTCCAAGAAAAGGTGGAAATGGAAGATATTTCAATGCCGCCTTCTTCCTTGCTGTTACAGGTTGAGAATCTTTTATCCAAAATTCTTCGGATTGTACATGCTTTGGTTTTCAGATTTTTTTTTTTTTTTTTTTTAATTTTGGAATACAGGTTATTTAATTTGTATATAGCATCTATAAAATGGAGCAGCTTGGAAATTGAACCCAAATATAAACATAATATCCCTTTACCTTTCATAACACAGCTTATACCCTGAAGGTAGTTTTATATAAATAACTGTTATGGTAATTAAGCCATGCACACATGGACTCTCCCAGCTATAAATAGGAGCAGGTACTGCCTTTTGGAGAGGAAAGTTTCCAGCTGTCATGTTTGTATTACTGTTTCTGTTAATATATTTAACTCAATTCCTCTCTTGTGTCTTTATTTCTGGCCCTAACAAGGCTACAACAATAACATATATTCTAAAAGTAGTTTTATATCAAATTTAATCAATTTGATGGACGTACAAATACAGGTAACAAATTTTTAAATGGTGAAATTAAGATTTCACATAAAAATAATGCTTTGTACTTTCTGTATTTGTACAAAAAACATGATCTACCCCTACCCACCCCCAATGTGGAGGGGTAGACTTCTTGTTCCACTGTCCAGGGATGTCCCGCCTAGTTCTTATTTTTATATGCTCATCACGTTTCCAAATAGACACTGCCTGGCCCAAGGATTGAACTCGCAATTACCATGTTACCAAATTCACGAATCAATGCTTTAATCTACCAGGCCATCGTCACATGCGACTCAATTTCTGGAATGGGGGAATTATCATTATTTACAATATTTACATTCAGACTATTATCCTCATCACAACGTTTCGGCATCATGCCTTCTGGTCTTCATCAGGTGTATATCAATCCAGGTAACCTAGAAGGAATTTTGAACCCTTTATTTAATCTATTGGGGGTGTGGAGGGGTAGACTGTTCTTGTTCCACTGCCCATGTCTAGGGATATCCTGTCTAGTTCTTATTTTTATATGCTCACCTTTTTATATGTTTCCAAATAGACACTGCCCTGCCCAAGGATTGAAGACACAATTACTATGTCACCAAATTCACGAATCAACACTCTAATCCACTAGGCCATTGTCACATGGGACTCTGTCTAAATTTTGGGAATGGGGGCATTATCATTATTTACAATATTTACATTTATTTTCCTCATCTTTGTTGTTGTTATCACAACGTTTCGGCATTATGCTTTCTGGTCTTCATCAGGTGTATATCGATCCGGGTAGCCAACGGGAAATTACAAACTGAACCCCTTATTTAATTTATGCAGAATTGACTGTTGTTGTCCTATCTTATTCTTATTTTTAATTCTGCTCAGTTATTGGCTCACTTTTTTTCCACTGACTCCTCTTACATGCCATGTAACTGTTATGTCTTTCAAAACGACCCTTTGTTGCCACTCTTATGATGGCAACATATACTAGTTTCTCCCTTGGTCAATGCCATTGTAGTAGAGACTTTGTAATTGCAGGTACCAAATATAATACGCCAATGAATCAACGCTTTAATCCACTAGGCCACTCTCTTTACATTCAGACATTTTTGTTCACTTGTGATCTATGTTCAAACACAAGCTTCCTATATGACAATGACCTAGGGATTGTCCTCACAATTACTATGTCACCATATTCACAAACCAACAATTTAATCCACTAGGCCACTGTCTTTGCATTCAGACTATTTTCCTCATCTTTGTTGTTGTTATTGCAACGTTTCGGCATTATGTCTTCTGGTCTTCATAAGGTGTATAGTGAGAATAGTAATTCCAAGATTTGCAGTCCGAATAGTAATAGAGTTAAAGGAGAGATAGCAAATATGTCTAGTGGATAGACTAGAAATACAGATTGCTTCAGACATTGTGTGACTTCCTCTATATGAGCATTTCCGCTATGCTTATGTGATTTACCTGATGAATAATGAGATCACGTTTTTGTTCACTTGTGATCTATGTTCAAACACAAGTGCCAGCAGTGACACTTTATTCCTATATGACAATGACCTAGGGATTGTCCTCACAATTACTGTGTCACCATATTCACAAACCAACAATTTAATTGGCTTAAAGTGAATCAAAACCTTGGTAATTATGAGTTCAAACCAACCGTACATTGTACCCCGCCTTAGCTGTTTGCACTTCTCCCAAAAATTTGACAAATGGACGAACAGAACTCACAGAATTTTATATATATATATATATATAGATAGATAGAAGACTAGAACATTGTTAGAAAAATTGATGACAAAGTGGGAAACGTGTTTTGCATCAAACATTTTGTCCTTTACGATTTCATCCGACTAAACTGATGTCGATGTTGATGCACCTACCTACATGTGCCTCTCCTTCATGCGCATATGTAATTACATCAACATCACTTCAGTCTGATGAAGTCTTAAAGGGTGAAATGCATCACATAAATTATTTTTGATTGATTTTCCTAATATCACTGAAAAGTTATTTTTTTTTTCTGTCTTACCATTCACTTACCCGCACAAATTACAGTGTAACCCGGATATAAGAGAGTTGTCGGGACCGGAGAAGAAGTCTCTTATATCCGGGTTTCTCTATTTTATATACATTAACACAGGCTCTAATTTGGGACCAGATAAAATCTCTCTTATATCCGGGTTACACTATATATATATATATGGTGGGCTCTTCTGTCATATTCAATGCATGACGATCAGCAACTCAGTTCCAAGGAACTGACAGCCGAACACCAGCACATATGATTTAATTATAGTGGTGAAGGTTTTGTGCTGAAACATCCACACTTTTTGAAGGGCTGAAGACAGAGACCTGGTGCACTAAGGGCCACAAGGGCCCCAAACGATCTTCCACAGGTTTTGAATTCAGAGTTGTCCTTCTCCTAAACCAGTTGCCATCCAAGGCTATAGAACCCAATCTGTCCTGCTAATTACCCATAGCTGGAGGGAGAAGAAGAGGATTCACACTTTTCCCAAGGGTATTAGCACGTAAGTGAATGTAATGGATTCGACTGGAATTTGAACTCGGCTCTCTGAACCCTCAGTTCGAGCTGCTACCCATTACTCCACCGTGCCTCCTATATATTATACTAGCAGCATGGCCTAGGGTTGCCAGTGCTTGATTCAAAAATCGTACGACTCATACAGCAATCGCTATCACTTGACTTAAAATATTTTTGCCCTTCCTTGCCTTTAAAGGAGTGCCCTTTGCCGTGCTGATATTGCTACATGCCTTACTTCTTGCCTATCTCACACTGCTAATTTTTTTCTAAGCTCTATACTAAACATTAAATCTGTTACTAAAAAAAGAACTAAACAAAATGAACACAAAGCGATCAGCTTTAAAAAAGGACTCGTAACTGGAAAAACCGAATGAAAAAAGAATGTTAACAACAAATACTTTTTCACACCCAACCCAGTTCTGTGGGATCAGAATCAATGTTGAGTTTAAGCAAGTGAATGAGCCAATTGGAGTAAAGTGCCATGCAGATTTAAATTTTTCCCACTTGTGACGAATGCAGCTATCGATATTTTTTTTTTTTTTTTTTTAGCATGCTAGTTAACATTCGTGTCGGTCAGCTGTTGGCTCTCATGCTGGCCAATAGAATCTTCCTGCCTATTCGTGGCAGCCAGCTATAGGCTCTCACTCTGGCTAGTAGAAAATGGTCGCAAACTACATGAAAACTGCCGTAGAAGCATGAAAAAATCGATTATTTCCACTATCAATGGGAGTTGGGAAATGCAAAGTCGGTCTTGGCCTTCCCGCTAACTTGGGACATATGCATGTAAATTTTGGTGCAAATCCATCTAAAATTGCAGCCGTGCATTCGTTACACACACACACACACACACACACCCTGCCTTTTATAGATAGAGATTATATAATATAATTTAACTTTTGACAGGTACCAAATGAAAACTGCTTGGCCCAACCGGATCTGCCCAAATTACCAGAGGATCCAGTGAAGCTGGTACCAACACCTGAAACTTTTGAGGTTATATCTGACAGAATCTCTCCTGACAGTCTAGAGATGCTCTCTCCAAAACCAGACACCCCAAAGTTATCGAATGTTCAATTGGATTTAGAAACCTTATTTGAAGACACAGTGCATTGTGATTCAAACGAATCTAAAATGAAGAGAAAAAACTCCTCGGATATTTTCCTGATGACACCAAATGATTTTCAGTTGTCGAAAATGGAAGACAGTAAAAATCTCCGATTGGAAGTGATAGAGACAAGAAATTTGTTACTGAACTACAAGACACAGAAGCAGAAATTACAGTAAGTAAAGTACCCTATGTTCCAAAATTGCGGTCAGTTAAAGTGCCACACATGATACATGCTCAGGCGATCATGTCTCTTTCGATTTATAACTGAATAGGGAGAAGATTTTTCTCAGTAGTTTGGCATTTCTTTCTGCAATAGACTAGTTGTCAACTAAGGCTTTAGGAACCATTCTCATAGCTGGGGGTGGGGGACAAGAACTTCATTCATACTCATAAATACTTTTGGGGAAAGGTAAGTCAATGTAATGAACGTAACTGGAATTTGAACTTGGATCTCTGATTTTCTCATTCTGAATTGTTAACCATTACACCACACCTTTTACAGATTTATAAATCTACCATTCATCCTTGCTTTGAATATTGCTGCTCCATCTGGTCTGCTGCTCCTGCTATATATTTAGAGATGCTTGATAAAATACAAAGAAGAATCTGCAGTGTTAGTGGTCCTGACCTGGCATATCACCTTCAATCACTTTTCCCACTGCTGTAACGTGGCATCCCTGTGCCTTTTCTATGAATACTTCCATGGTGATTGTTCTGATGAACTTTACTCAATGGTACCTAGAGTTTATGAATTTAAGCGCAGTACTAGATTGGCAGCAAGGTCTCATCATTTTGTAGTTGAAATGGCCACTAGATGCAACCAGAATTTGTATGTTGACAATTTCTTCTGTCACATTGCTCGCTCGGCTTCTTGCTTTTCAGTCAATTTTGATCTTCAGAAATTCAAATCATCATCTGTCTTCTTGATTCCTTTTACACTCATTAACCCCTTGTGGCTTTATTATCTTTCTTGGGGTGAAACGATTAAAAAAAATTTAATAGTTTCCTGTTCTTTCTATTGTTCTCTTTGCCTTTAATTATTTATGACACAACCGATGTTTACAAGTTTAAAAGCTTGTGTCATTGTAACCCCCCGTATTACCTACAATCTATTCTGGTTAATGGCGACTAAGCCACCGGGCTTTTCATATATCTAACAATTGTGATTAGCTTGCAACTTACTAATGCCCAAAATTCTATCACTGCAGTGCAGGCATAGCATTTATGACTAACAACCACAGTTACTAACCATGTCTATCTTATTCACTTTGGTACAACGGTGGAGTAATGGATAGCGGCTTAGATTGAGTAATCGGAGAGTCGAGTTCAAATTCCAGTTGAATCCATTACATTCATTAACATGCTAATACCCTTGGGAAAGGTATGAATCTGCTTCTTCTCCCCCCAGGATTCTATAGCCTTGGATGGCAACTGGTCTACTACAGAAAGAAATGGCAACCTACTGCAGGAAAAAAAATCTGCCTCATCAGTCATGTATCAAAAGATACATGATCGCCTAAGCGTGTATCACGCATGGCACAACTAACTGACAGGTTAGTCATTGCTCTACCTGTTCCCACTGAATCTATATTGTTATTACCTACTCCAGGGATTGAACTCAGTATGTCACCAAATACTAAGCATCTTTCATAGAGGACTACGAAAATTAATTTTCAAACATGTTTACATCCTCAAATGCAGGGGTTGATAAACCATAAAAAATGAGATAATCAATCAATGAAATACCGATTAGCTACACAGGCATGTCTTTTAGATTTATTTACATTCTGTTTAATATAAATATACAGAAACTACTATGGCCGCAAAATGAGTGATCAATTTATATACTGATTACAATGTAGAATTGATCCTCCACTTTATGTTTATATTGTTTATTAAATTCTGATTATTTATGAATCCATCTCTTTTCACTCCAGCTATGGGTTAATTAGTAAGACTTGTATCACTAAATCATTATCTAAAAAAAAAAAATAAAGTTCTTATAATCTAAAAATATTTTCTGGCTTTAAATAACCTGCAAAGGATTGTTTCATAATGCACATACATACACTCTCTCCCATGTATCTTTTCTTTCTCAGTTCTCTAAAAGAATACCTGAGCATGTTGTACACCTGGAACAAGGGAGAATCCAATCAATTATCTCTTGATGCTGAGCTCTCACAGGTAAGTCGAGAATTTGTTTTTCTTACCAAAATTATTTTATCAAAATGTCACAAAGAGGGATTTTAATGGCCCAACATTAAATATTTGTTTTGTTTTGTTTTTAAGGACCCCCTTCATTCAGCTGAAACTTTTCATCATTAATTTTAGTGGATACCCATATTTGAAATAGACACTCCATTTTTATTTTAAACAGGATGTGTTACATCCATCAGCCTTCTCACCCGAGAAATCGTAATAAAGATTTGCTTTCTTGCCAGGTTCAAACCTCTGTTGACCTTTTGTAGGAGAAGCCACTGTTTGACCTGGTGTGCATTAGACTGCTTGGCCACAGAGACTAAACAGTACAGCAAGGTTCTATTTCCCCTTTTGAGGAAAGCACAGTTCCTTGTTCAGATTATTTTTCTCAAAATCCCATATTTGCTGAGTTTGGAATTGAATAGTAAGTTCAATCCTCATTGAGTGTCTTAGATTTTAGCAGAAAGCTGAAAATATAAGAAAATTGCTTAGTTTCATGTCTGAAATGTAAACAAAGCAATTTCTAAAGAATTAATGGATTTATTTTTAAGCTGAGTTTTTTTTTTTTTTTTTTATTTCAAACATTTTCAGTGAATCTGGGCCGAGCAGTCTACCAATAGGTTTCATGCATTCTACTCTTGTTTTATTTTGCTAGCCAATGATGCATTATGGGTAGGTCTAAAAATAAGTAAATACATTAATTAATAAACAAAATCACAAACTACAAATGCATGCATAAACTCAAGTAAACATAACAAAGTTAAAAAACAACGCTATGAAATAGCCACAAAACTACATTCAAATCCACAATTATTTCCACTCAATAGCCCCTAGAATAATTTGAACCATTACCAACCACCCATAACTGTTAGAACAGTATACCTACCCATAATGCATCACTGACCAACATGTATAAATAGTCAAGCCAAAACACATGGCCAGACGATTACGTTTAAACATGAAACACTGTTGCTATTGGGTGTTGACCTCAATGTCGACTTACATATGGTTAATACAAATATAAAATTCATCTCTGTCTATATTTCTGAGATGAGGTATTGTAACTATTTACATCATTCAGACTGTTGTTCTCATTTGAATATGACAATAAAGATGAGGACAACAGTCCAAACAATGTAAATAGTTACACTACCGCATCTCGGAAATATAAGCAGATGTTGAAGGTGAATATGGCAATAAAGATGAAGACAGCAGTCCGAACAATGGAAATAATGTAAATAAAATTTGTCACTTAGCTGATTGATATTCTATTCAGCACCTCAACTCTGGAGTTTTGTAGATGAATCCTTTCCATTTTTTGTTATTTCTATACTAAGTTCGATGTAATTATATGGTTCCTGTTAATTGACACGACTATATAACTTGAGAACTTTCAAGAGCAGCAATGATTAAAATGGATAGCACATGTAACTCAAAGAGAAAGTAATGGCATAATGAAGACGTTGATGTTCCACGCGACTTCAAACAAAAGGTTAGGAAGGAAGCAGCCATGGCTATTAGAAGGAGTTATAACAGTTACTGGACTTGAGAAACTTATTTTCCTGAAAAGTCATTGTAATAGAAATATTTTATGAATTTCATCCAACAGTCACACTGGATGAATGCTGAATGTTTCCTTATAAGGAAACAGTTAATAAATTTTGCTTGTATCAATTCACCTGGTCTGGTTCAGTTACATTATATTAGAGCAAACAGCAGCAACAAACACTTTGCAAGATTAACTTTACCACAGAGGTTTTAAAAAAAAAAAAAAAAAGCAAACATCTCGTTCTAGTGGCTTTACTAAAAAAAATAATTTCTTTCAGGAAGATTTGCTTTGGAAAAGCTGATAAAAAGTAAAAATAAATATGAAAACCCACCAGGTAAACCCAGATGTTTACGAGCAGAATAGATGTGAGCAAGAAATTTAAACAGAACCTTTCCCATAGTAAAAAAAAACAAACACAGATTGTGAAGAATGAAAGTTGTGTAAACCATTAACGGTGGTGTTGGGTGGGTTTTCAAGAATACCCCCTCGGGGGGGGGGATTCAAGCTATTGAACCTCCTTCATGGCCCTGGATTGTTATGAATACTAGTTTCCGATGTATTTTCTCAACCTAGTTAGGGGTGGTAGCACCTGTTAGGGCTCCTGCTATGGGCAAATAGTGGCCTCCCACTACCACTATGAAAGTATAAAAATACATTTTTATAGCAAAAATAAAAAATACCAACATACATTTTTTATATAGTAAAATTAACAATACAACTGCATTCGAAATACATTTAGTTAAAGCTATAAAATTGTTCAAAATATTTAAATTTTGGAATTAAATAACCCAGAGAGATTGATATGCCACTAAACAAAATCAACCAAATTATTCTTTGTGTTCCTAAAAGTTTAGTGCCATGGCAACTGCCTCTCCGATCCCGCCCATGCTACACTACTGTCAAAAGACCTTGCCGGAACATATTTTATTCAATGCATGGATGAATGGTAGAACCAAGTTCAAATTCCAGTTGGTTTAATTATATTCACTTATGTGCAAATACTCTTAATTCCAGTTGGTTTAATTATATTCACTTATGTGCAAATACTCTTGGTAAATCTATGAATCCACCTCTTCTCCTCCCTAGCTATGGGTAAAATAGTAATGCTAATTAATACAGTATTCACTTTCCCCACCCAATTTTACAATCCAAAAATATTTGGGCTTTAAATAAACTACAAAAGGTTGATAAACTGTAAAAAAAAAAAAAATCAATCAGTACAGATAAGTGTTGAAAATTTTTAGAAAAAAAGCTGTGATCCATTGCCTGTAATATGTTTAATAAATAAATAAATTCAATTAAAAATGCAACATAAATCGAATTCATTGGCGTGAATGTAACATTAATAAAGTTTTTGACTTAAATTTCTTTTATCTTAATTCCAGTTGCTTCTTATTTAAACCTGAGCTTCTATAATCAGTATTGATAGCCTGATTGATAAAGCAGCTGCCCCCAAAAGGTTGATTTCTTAATAAAAAAATTACCTGAGATTTTATTTCCAGTGGCCATATCATGTCATTCTTTAAATTGGGGGGGAAAAATATATCTATATAACACTGTTTTTATTTCCTCTTCACAGACCAAACAAGACATTGCTGTCCTGAAGAAGTCTTTACATGAGCAGAAGAGTCAGCTGAAAGCCAGAGTGGAAAAACTTACCCAGAATTCCTTGCAACTATAAGTATTTTTGCATATCCTGTTAATAAACTTACTTTGTAAATATTTATTCAGTTGTTGTGTCACTTGTGGGAAAAATTGTTAGAGTAATCAACCTTCAATGTCGAAAATAATTTTTTTTTTTTTTTGACTTATCCCTTTGACCCATAAATATTGACTCTCAATGTTCCACCCACTCCATGTACTCTAATTTGAAAGTGATAGTAAAGGGAACTAACTCTTTACCATTCAAAGATTGAGCTTGAAATTATTACTAATCTAGGACTTGGCTAACTCCTGTCCAATAAGGGCCCCTTCTTGGGGCCACATGGTAAATTCGAACCTGGAATCTTCCACTTTTGCAAAGTAACAGCCATAGTGACCACACATTTATTGGAGACGTTTTTTCTGACATTAATGGAGTCCAGAAACCACAAGATTTTGATCATGTCCTACTTCTGTCATCACTTCCTTGTTCGATTAACGAAGAAAAACAGTCTTTCCTCCTTTTTTTGACGACAAGAAATCAAGCATCACAACAAAATGGAGTCTAGTGATTCAGAGTTCTAATTTGAGTGATAAACAGCTGAGGTTATTCTTGAGTCCAATGAAAAAAGTTAAAGAAATACAAGATAATGTCAGTATCCATATGTGGGATCATGTTGAGATCATTGACAAGGAACACCATTGGAAAATTCGTAAACTTAAGGAATCAGCATATATGCTAGACCACAAAAATCTCCTGAGCCGACCAAGCATAGAAATAAATACAATATGGGAACCAGTAATAAGGAGTGCCAGAGAAAAGCAATGATAACAATATAGTTGTAATATGAGCTCTGGTAAAAACGCAATGATAACAGCAAAATTGCAATATGAGCACTGGTAAAAATGGTTAATGAAGACATTAGGTTTATAATACCCAGATGTCCTCAAGGACGCATAGCACATATAAAGATAAAGGCATGTTAAGGCAGTGGAGAACTTTCAGAGGGAAATTAACAGGAGATAACTGACATCCATCAAACATGGCACGTGGAACTAGAACAGTCTACCCCGGTGAGCAAAATAAAGGGTTCAGTTCAACATTCCTGAAGAAGGTCGGAGCGTACAACAGCTGAAACGTTGTGATAAATATGGCGACAAAGATGCGGACAATAGTCCGAATAATGTAAGATCTGCTGTGATGAAATTAAAATACTAATAAAAATAACATATCAATGAAAACAAAATAATGTAAAATCAGATAAAAATAAAATAGAAACATATGTAAATAAATAGAGCAAATAAATATAATATAAATATAGTATAATAAATGCAAATAAAAATAAGACTAAAAGGTAGGAGAAAAAGACATAATAAAAATGATATGGTAGAGATAAGATAATTATTAAGCAAACAAAGTTAAAGGTGTTACAATCTAATATTAACAATAGTTGTATAGTAAAGGTAGTAAAAAGAAAGAAAAAAAATTAAACAAAATAAATAATATCAATGTGGTCCCCAGGCCTGGCTAAACTATACTAATCTTGGTCAACGTGTTTGAGTAGAAATTTGGATCTATGTAAGCAGGTGTTCATTAACTCACTTCTTTTGTTTAAGAGATTAGGATTATATTTTTCAGGATTATTAATTTCTCAGAAAGACATAGGTTACACCTGTTGCCCAGGAGGGTTTTTATTTATTTCAACAGGTAAGTTTTTAACAACCACCGAAAATAGATTTTCTAGGTCAAGGGTCTAGATCTCCTGTTATGTTTTGTTTTTTAAATTTTCTGGATAAATTTAAATAATTTGTAATTTCGGTCTGATGAGATAGGTGTTAAAAATTTACCCGTTGAAATAAATTGTAAAAATTTAATATTTTAGAACCTACTTGGATTATCCTTTCCACTTATGGATTTGATATTATATATAAATAATACTGTCTTTAATGTGATTGTTAAAAGTTTCTTACATGCAAAAGATTTTCTACATTTGAAGATTAAAAAGATTATCTTTTCCACTGTTTTTTCAGCACTGAATCCAATTATTTGTTGTTTCTCTTGTATTTCGTTTCATTTTGCTTCCTCTTATGATAATTGTTTTTCCAAAGATCAACAAATTATTTTGGCAACTCTATTGTTTCAAGGGTGAAAGTGATAAATATCCAAGTATGAAGAAAATTAACTACACTTTCTGAATTAATTAACTGGTTTAATTAATAGACTTTTAAGATGTCTGTCAATCCAGGATAACCTTCAGAGAATTTTTTAACTGAATCCTTTATTCACTTGAGAAGGAGAGATTCTTCTTGTCTTGATGTCCATGTCTACAGATATATGGTATTGTTCCGTTATTGTCTGCCCTGTTTCCATGAAGCCTCAGTCTGTATGATCCAACCTTAACATTGGACTCATAATTACTGCATTCAACAAGACAATATTCATTTTATGTAAATGCATGGGTACACATACATATCTTGGGTGTAACTGCAAAATTGTCCATTTGTTAGATTAAGCTTTGAAACATTGTATCTTAGAAATGATTAAAGATATCTTACTGGAATTCTCCAAGGTTTATATAACACTATTGGACTCTCCTTTGAGCAATAAGAATGTATAATTACTCTCCAAGCTTAAGACATGTTCATCATTAATTAATCATAGCTAAGGATCAGAAGCTCATGAAGGATTAAAATTAAGTTCAACTATATATTATTCCAGGATCATTTTCCACGTTATTCAAGATGATCTTCGCCCTCTCTAACTTGGAGTAGTAACAAGGTGCCTCACAGGTTTTACATACAATTTCATTTGCAAGTATTCTTCCAGTTCTTTTGACTGTCACAACTGAAACTCCTTTCTCACGTACCAAAGATCTTATGGATCGAGTTGGATCTTTTCTAAAAATGATGTGACCTCCTGATCCAGTTTCCTCTCTACTGTTCCCTCTTTTTTAAACTTATTCACCATTCTCTTCATGGTTCTTGAATGGACTTTGAAGATGGAAGCTGGAGTATGAATGTTGGTACCATTACTGAAGGCCTGAATGATCTTTTTACTTTCCTCATTGCTCATTTGGGAAGACAGTGGGCCTGACACAAATCAATTTGTTCTCTTTCTAGCTGAATAACTCAAGGGGTTTTTCAGTGATTCTTACAATAAATGGTGTCAAGATGGTTAAAAGTCTTACCTGGAAAAAAGAAACTCAGTTTAATATATATATATATATATATATATATATATATATATATAAAATAAAAATAAACATTTTGTGGGATAGGCAATTTTCCTGTTACACCAAGTGTGTGTGTGTGTGTATATATATATATATAAAGATTGCTGATATCCACTAAGTAGACAGACAGGTCTGTCTATAAAACTATGGAGTCAGGATGCTGAGTGACATAATTTTTTACTTTACATTAATTCTGTGTGTGTATATATATATATATATATATATATATATATATATATATATATATATATATATACACACACACACACACACACAAGTATTGGATTGGTGAATACAGAATTCCAATAACCAACAAATACTATTCTTAAAAGAGTGCTCAATACAGAGTAGAGCAAATATAATTATTTATTCGAAAATTATAACATAAATATGTTATAAAATCACTAGAAAAATAGCCATTTTGTTTCAACACTTCTGCTGTCTTATCAAGTGATGGTGTTGAATAACATCATCACTTGATAAGACACCAGAAGTGTTGATATGAAATGGCTACTTTTGTAGTGATTTTATAACATATTTATGTTATAATTTTCGAATAAATATATATATATATGAATTAAATTCAACATTTTTAATTTGTTCAATGTATACTCATATTTGGGTAGACTCTCTCTCTCTCTCTCTCTCTCTCTCTCTCTCTAATATTTGAGAAACAGCAGTTATGTATATTTCGAGAATCTGGAAGATATGTATTCAAAAGTACTATTCTGTTTGAGCAGGAGTTCCTATAGTTGGTCAAAGACATGTCAGATCTAATGACAGTTTTCCCTAGGGGGCACAGTCCCCCACCCCAAGATTTCTGCTTAATAAATAAATAAAAACAAGCATCTACTTAAAGATGAGTATCCATTTAAAGAAATATTAGTGAATGCTAAAGGGTGAAACTTAGCATAAAACATGAGGCCAAAAATATTTGAGCAAACATACACCTTTGCCCCCACAATAAGACAGTGTCAAAAGGACAATCCCCCACACACCACTTGTCTTTTTTAACTACCTTCACACTTCAGCAATATTGTTTTCTTAAAAAAGAAAAAAAAAAAAAAAAAAAAACTAAGCCAGGATGAGAATTGTAATAAAACCTAAACATATGAAAGTAAATTTTGTTTTTTGGTTCAATTCCAACATTGTCAATTTGGTTGAACCAATTTAAAAAAAAATTCCAACAAATTTAAAATAGAGCTAAATATGAATTTTGGTAAATTTAGCAATTACATAAAACAAGTCATTCAGAAATTTGAAGTTGATAAAAAAAAAAAAAATTTGATAGAACTTGTTAGTTTTCAACCCGTTTGAAAGAATTATTGCTGCCAAGAAATTGGGTAGACAAAAGCTTTTCAGTAAATTACAGTATTCAAAACTTGGTCCTGCCTCTCTCTCCCAGAAAATAAGCTCCACTCAGGATAGTTGCAGTATAAATTACAAGTTGGCTCTGTAGGCGTTGAAGCAATATAAGTGCCTGCAGTAGGGATTAATTACACAAACAACAAAGTAGCTTTTGACCAATCCAGTGTATATAACATTATATATGGTATTGTTCAAGTCTGAGTATTTTTTTCAGTTTCAGCTACAGCTGAAACTATGACCATATTGGTATCTTTTTAGTAACGGTCTGGATGAGGGAACATTTCCAGATAATAGCCATGCAAAATTTGTCAGTCACCTAACCTTTTTTTTTTTTTTTCTCTTTTCTGTTCCATCAAATATATTTTTTTGAAACCGCACTGAGTTTTTACCTACACAGTAAATTCTGACATCAAATTCATTTATTACTTGAATGTTACTT